GATTTAGAGAGATTAAAGCTCAGTGAGACTTTTTGACGGTCTCCAATCAGAACCGTAACATTTAGGGTGAGGCGGGGTAATAATTACGGTAGTAATTATATTGTTAGACATGTTATTTTAAAATAAATATTCATAACAGAAGATAGTAAGTCAAATTAAAGACGAAAAATAACAAATTGATAACCTTCGTTTTGTGGCCGTCTAATAAAAGGTAAAGATTAAGCTCACCTCACCTTATGACTAGTCGGCAACTGAGGTTACCAGAAGTCGAGTTGTTTCCTTCTCTTTTATTATGTATTTACTTAATTGATGAAATCATAAAAACGTATTCCACAGTCGGTACTCTACTGTGTGAGTAATTACAGTAAATAGTTTTAGAAAAAAACTCAACAAAAACATGTTGAATGTTATTGTAACTTTATTTAACAAAACCCGAATTCCTCAGTGATATACACAATCATAAAAATACTGAAATTATTAAAGTAAGTAAAAAAGTATGTTTCGTTATTATTTTTATAGGTATATTCAGAAGCTTTCTTATCTTTTTATTTCTAAACAGCATATTGTGCTAATTTATGCAATATTTTCACGGACCAACCACCATTTTTAGTATTTCTTACATAATTGCAAGCCATGTAAAAGAGTTTTCATAAAATTATATCATTGTATTTAGATAGCCTAGTAGAATAATCTCAATGCAAATTATCTTGGAGGACAATGGACAGTAGCAATAGATGACAGCAAGCTTCATCGTGTCCAAGTCATGTCTTTAATAATTTTTTCTACGCCCATGTCAGTAAACGTTAAAAATCGCACTGTCAACATTCCTTGTAAATGACATTTAACAATAACATGCACGTAATGAGATGTCATAACATATATGTGCTTTTTAATACAAGTGATCTAAATTAAAAATTTAAAAAAACTGACTTCAAAAACGTGCAGATGCCGCCAGCACATCTTATCCAAATTAATATGTGGCCATTCCTGAGGTACCCCATTACTAACAAAAAAGAGAATCATATAAATAGGACAAGGTCGTAAAGCATTATCGCTAAACATACATGAAAAATGAAGAGTTTGAGGAATTTCTCATGGACCCAGTTATTAGATTTTGACCAAATTTATATGGGACCACCCCTGAAGTACCCCCTTTCTAACAAAAAAAGAATCATTGAAATCGGACACCGTGTTAAAGAATTATCGCTGAACATACATAAAAAATGAAGAGTTTGAGGATTTTCTCATGGACCCAATTACTAGATTTTGACCAAATGTATATGGGACCACCCCCTCTTTCTAACAAAAAAAGAATCATTGAAATCGGACACCGTATTAAGAAATTATCGCTAAACATACATAAAAAATGAAGAGTTTGAGGATTTTCTCATTGGCCCAATTATTAGATTTTGACCAAATATATATGGGACCACCCCTGAAGTACCCTCTTTCTAACAAAAAAAGAATCATTGAAATCGGACACCGTGTTAAAGAATAATCGCTGAACATACATTAAAAAAAAAAAAAAAATATCACGACGAATTGATAACCTCCTCCTTTTTTGAAGTCGGTTAAAAAAATAACTTAAATTTCTTAGTTTAATTAAATTGCAATCAAATTTTTATCTACGTATTTGGTTCATTTACATAAATTTAGTCAATTTAAAAACATAAAAACTTTTAGCAATAGCGAGATATACATTTTGGATTAAAAAAATTATGACCCTAAATGTCGGCAACACATTATACATTATACTAAATATTGTATTTGAACATTTTTGAAAAAGCTCAAGTTGCCGCACATAATTTGCTACCGCTAAAATCCAAAAAAAGGTACGAAATTACCTATCGAAAATTTATGGATTAGCGACACAAGCATATGTCCTTTATTTAATAGAAGAAAATAAATGGGCGTAGAAAAAGTATAATACGTTACACGAGTTGTAAGCCCATTACGCACTCGTAAAATTTACGCACGAAGCCGCGCAGCGGCTTCGTGCGTAAACTTTTTCACTTCGTGCGTAATGGGTTACTTACAACTCTTGTTACGTAATATACTATTGTCGTATTCTTCCGAACCATCGAACGGTTATCGAAACTTAACAAAACAAAAAATAACAACACTACCTTTCATTTTGCTCACTAAGGAGAACGTAATTCTTGGACTAAAAAACATTTTGACCAAAAAAAATTTGCTAAAAAAATTTTGCCGATAAAAAATTTTGCCAAAAAAATTTGCCAACAAAAATTTTGACCAAAAAAATTGTGATCCAAAAAAATTTTGATCGAAAATAAGAAGACAGCAAAAATTAAATTTTAACACTACCTTTCATTTGGCTCATTTGTTGACCAAAAGAAATTTTTACCAAAAATAATTTTGACCAAAAAAAATTTTGACCAAAAAAAATTTAACAAAAAAAAATTTTGACCAAAAAACATTCTGACCAAAAAACATTTTGACCAAAATAATTTTGACCAAAAAAAAAAATTTGACCAAAAAAATTTTGACCAAAAAGAAATTTGACCAAAAAAAATTTTGACCAAGAAGTATTTTGACCAAAAAAAATTTTGACCAAAAAAAATTTTGACCAAAAAAAATTTAACAAAAAAAAATTTTGACCAAAAAACATTCTGACCAAAAAACATTTTGACCAAAATAATTTTGACCAAAAAAAAATTTTGACCAAAAAAATTTTGACCAAAAAGAAATTTGACCAAAAAAAATTTTGACCAAAAAGTATTTTGACCAAAAAGTGTTTTGACCAAAAAAAATTTTGACCAAAAAAATTTTGCTAAAATAAAAAATGTATCCTCAAACCAGGTCCTTGTGGCGAACTTCTTCATAGTAACTCCTTTAGTGTTGTTTTTTTATTATGACTAGACCTAGGAATATATTAACCCAAAAAGTAGTTAAATATGCGTATATATATGCCGCAAAATACTTCAATATATGCGTAAAAAATTGAAAAATATGCAGAGCATATGCAATAAGAGTAATTTGTTATTTGATCGAAATAGTTTATTAATATTTATTATTTGTTTTATTTTACAATACCTAATATAATACTTAATAATTATTTAATTATTAACTAATTAATATTTATGGGTCTTCATTATTTATCGGGTGTAGAAAAAATAGCGTATGCAACTCTCATGTAATGGTTATTAGAACACTCGCATAAACCATACGAAACTCACCTTTGGCTCGTTTCGTATCCCGGTTAATGCTCGTGTATTAATAACCATCATTACATGATCGTTGCATAATATACTATTATTTACAAATCAACATTATTATAAAACGAATGAACAATTAGTTTTTCTAAATTATCTGTATTAAATGATTGTCTCCTATCAGTAAGTATGCTTTTGTACAAAGAAAAACTCCTTTCGACATCTACAGAAGTAATAGGTGCAAACTTAAATTTTCCTGAAATATCTGGATGAATAGTATTAATATCTTCAAAGTTACCAGAATAAATATTAGCAAGGTTTCTTAAAACAATAAATCCTTCATTTTTTAAAATTACATTTGAAAATTTATGAGAAATCGTCTTTCCAATATCGCCCTGGACATTTTTACACTCTGATTCAAACGTCTTAATTAAATTTACGGAAGTCACCAAAGGTAATTTTTTTTGTTCTAAATCTAATATAAATTTGGGTTCAAATGCATAATTTTTTAAAAACACTAATTGCTTTGGTAATATGTGATTTTGAAACAACTTCTTTGTATTAGGTATTCCCTTAGATGAATCATCAAAATCAAATATGATTTCTTTAATTTTTTCATAATTATCTGCGTAAAAAAAGGCAGCTTTAAGCCAGGTACCCCACCGAGTAATCACAGGTTCCGCTGGCATCTGTAATTCAGGAAATTTTTCTTTGTATATTTTTTTACATTACTAATTAAATTATTTATTAAAGGAAAGTTAGACCTAATTTCTTCTGCAACTCTGTTAAGGCCATGAGCCAAACATGTAACATGGATTAAGTTTTCATAAAACATTTTTAAATTGTGTGCGGCTTTTACCATGTACGGGGGCAGCAATAAACATTTTTCTGTTGGAACGGTTTCCGGAAGAAAAAAGGAAGACAATTCTGTCTGGGTAAAACGAGTTATTGTCAAGTTATTTGTTTTATCTAATTGCTTTGAATCGATTAGATATGGACCAATTTGCATTTCTTCGCGTAATGAACCTATCATATATCGACCACAAGAGTCTGTTGTTTCATCCACAATAATGTAGAAATGGTTTCCAACGGTAATCTCACGAATTTTTTCACGAGTCTCAATGTACAAACTGTCAACACCACGTTTGCGTAATATACTTTGCTCTGGAATATTAAATTTACAGTATTTTTAAAAAATGATCCGAGATTTGGATTATTTAATCGTATTAAAGGGATATTCGAAGTCACTAAAGCTTTGTATAAAAATCTTCATTAAAAATAGCTTGTTCACTTCTAGACGATCCAGATTCTAAATATTGTTTCAAGGGAAGTTGACTTTGTCTGCGAGTGTCTTTAGATTTCTGCTTTGCTATATGTGAGGGTGTTTTCGCGTGTTGGTCGATTTGAAACTTTTTTTTACATGGAATCTAAAACAAATAAATTCCTGTAGATGTTGGTTTTAATTAAATTAAATAAATGCGTACGTTGTAAAGTTGCCCTACTTTTTTTTAACTGTGAGTTAAAATAATATTTTACTGTCGTTTGATTTACCATTGTGAAAGGTCAAAATAAAATATAAAATAAAAAAGTACTTACAATTTTAGAACATGTTTTACAAAACACTTGGTTATCACCTTCTACAACAAAATCTGAATAAGATTTTACCCACGACTTAATTAATTTTGGCATTTTTCCCACTGGTTAACACAACACAACAATAACGACTGAAATGAAGTTGAAAGTAAACTGAGTCATTTAGAAATTTGAAGATATTAATACAACTACCTGAAAGGATATTTAGCAAAATTTGTTGGTTTAAGGGGCTCCGTGGGACTTGCGAACGTGGGATTTGCGGACTGCACCTTTTTCGTGGGCTTTGCGAACACACATACCTGGCGTTAATCTAAGCGCTGACCATCGGTGGGACTTGCGAACATTCTATAATATTAGAAACGAATGATTTTTTTAGAAAGATGATATATTTCCTGATAAGTTGCCAGTGAAGATATTTGATTCAATTTAAATAAATGCTTGACATATCTTTATTGTCTGGAACTAAGAAATTTTTATTTGAAAGAATGATTTTTTCTTACTATTATTTTTAAACTATTAATATATGAAATTATTAAATTATTATTTGATATTATTAGAAAATTTTCTAGTCCAAAAGAGTGCAGGTTGTATGGTCTAAAAAGGATTAACGATTATCTGGTAATGATCAATCAAATTGTTGATATAATTTAATTAGTTTTAACGGGTGCTTAATAGAGCTTAATAGTGCTAATTGTAAACAATTTTCAGGGAATTAGTAAGTAGGTAGGTACCAACTAAATCATAATGTTATTATAACGATCTCATAATGACATGTAAGGGTAATTATAGCGAAATTAAATCGTTTTAAACTGTTTTGAAAATAGACTAATATTTATATTATCCGCTATTAAATTGAACTATACCTATGGTGAGCCATACCTATAAATGTAAGAACACGAAAAATGCAACCTTCATTCTGAATATTGAGTTAACAAAATAAGATTATGGCAGAAATTGAATTTATCACCACAACAAAGGGCAAGCCATCGGTTTTATTTAGTGGTCATCAGTACCGAATAATACGCGATATACACGGCGTAGTTACCTGGTTATGTGTTAATGAAAAAAAGCAACGTTATAAAGGATCCATTAAGACCAGAGAAGGTAAATTAATTGCAAGCAGTGAAAAACCACATGTGTGCTCGTCACAGGAGGCTGAGTTAGATGTGCAAAAGAAATTGCACATATGCAGGAAGAGAGCTAGGGAAGATTTGAGTATCCCGGTCTGTGAGATCTTTCGAAGAGAATTCATGGTATGTAATTTTTCTTATCATATACATTAGACTGGGCCAAAAAAATAACTATTTTCCTTTAAGAATCCGACGTGGGCTTTTTTAAATATGCATTGATTCATTAGTTACGAAATTACTCGAAAACGGCTCGTCTGACAAAAATTTTAATAGAGCCTTTTTTGTAGAGAATTTAATTTTACATAAGAATAAGTAAAAAGGATTTTTTTCACCTTAATGTTTTGACAGTTCTAACGTAAAACATCAAATTATGACTAAAAATCAAAATAGCGATGATAGACCTCTTAAAATTAATATTAAGGGCTCAAATTTTTAGGAATTTTTTTTTTTTCATCATTCTGAATGATATTCTCGATATATCTTTCAAAAAAAAAAAATTATTATTTTTTTTGGCCCAGTCTAATATACATAGTGTTATTAAATGTATGCTAAAAAATTGAGATGACATTTATGTTAATCGTTTATTTTTATTCCAGGATCTAGAAGCTAGAGGATATGAATTTGTCACTAAAATGCCAGATTACAATGTAGCTAAAACCAGTCTGTGTAAAATAAGGAGGGTGGCTTTAGGAACAGACCAAAACTCGACAAGTGCTGCAGACATTATTTTTAAACCAAACACACTAGTTTTACCCGACGGAAGCAGTTTTCTAATTGATGACTCGACCATCGAAGGCGAAAGAATTTTTATATTTGGCGTAGAAAATGCTAGATGGCATTTAGAAAGCGCCAGCATTAATTTTATGGATGGAACATTCGATATATGTTCAGCTCAGTTTGTTCAGCTAAATATAGACGCTGGAAGCAACCACGAAGAAACTAACGTCCAGTCGATTATTTTTGCGTTATTGCCAAGGAAAACGGAAGCAACTTACAAAAGATTATTTCAAACTATTAAAAATTGGGCACCGAAATGGAAACCAAATTTAATAAAAATTGATTTTGAAGTTGCGGCTATAAATGCACTTCGTAGTGTGAACAGAACTACGAAAATTTCTGGATGCAATTTTCATTTTATGCAGTGTCTCTGGAGGAAAATTCAAGAAATTGGGCTAGCTAGGGAATACAGAGAAAATGAAGAAATTAAGAGATTTTGTAGAATGTGTGGTGCTCTGTCTTTAATTCCATTGGAATTTGTGGTGGATGGTTGGTTGGCTATTTTTGGAGAAGCACCAGAGTCAGATAAGCTGCGCCAGTTTGCAGATTATTTCATAGACCAGTGGCTTGACAACGATAAAATGAATATCGATGTTTGGAACGTATCAAAACAACGTCACAGAACTAACAATGTTGTTGAGGGCTGGCACCGACGTATGAATAAGTTTGTTGGAAGAAATACTCCAAATATTTATTATTTGGTAGGGAAATTAAGGGAAGAAGCAATTCATTCATCGTTTATTCTTAAACAAATTGAATGTGGAGTTCCTCAAAACAAAAGGAAAAGAATGTACCAAAAAATGGACCAGAAAATTAATGAAGCTCTAAATAAGCTAGACCAAGATGGGAATATTTTGAATTGTCTTCGAGTGTTAAGTTACAATCAAAAATTTGATTAAATCAGTTTTTTGTCAAAGTGTAACTATACATTGTGAGTCATAAATAATGGAATAAATAATTGTAACTGTAGATTCAGAAGGCAAAAATACTAATATTTTTAACTTCTGAACCTACAATTGCAATTTGGCCCATTATTTATGATTCACCCTGTATATAAAATTCTCTTTTTTAATATTTTCAAAATTTTGAGTTATTTTATTAGTTATAGTTAGGAAGGATTATTTCTGTTTCTTGTTATAAATAGTAGTTGGTTTTTTTTTTAAATACTCTGTATAATTTTGCTTAATATATATTATTAATATTATAAATGTTTAATGTTTTACTCATTTATTAAAATACAAAAATAAAGTCCACACTAATTTAACTTAATAAAAAATTACCTGTATGGTAGCGTTCGCAAATCCCACGGTCCTCATAAACGGACCGAGGGTATGTCAGGTATATGTTCGCAAATCCCACTGTTCGCAAATCCCACGTTCGCAAATCCCACGCCACCGTTTAAGGAGGGTGTTTATAATTTAATCCTCTCAAGTACCTACACCATTAACCGTCATTTATTACAGGGAAAAGTTAATCCTTCAAAATTTTAGGAAATCGACCTGTAAAGGCATTTTACAAAATATTATTTTGGTCCAAAACTCAATTTTAATAGGTCCGGCCAATTAGTACGTCAGATATATGCCAAAAAATTAACAAAATGTCAATATATGCATTCAAAATCAAAAATTGTATATATATGCAACATATGCAAAATATGGCGTTTCGCATATATTCTAATTATGACTATTATTTTCGCGGAGCCCCCACGGAGGCTTTGCGGATCCTCAGGGCAGACTAGTGCAGACTCTGTTGCCAGTCTAGTACAATTGTCCTAATTAGGCATTCCAACGACCCGTCCAAATGGCTACCAGTGGGTAATGACAGTTTAGATATGGCAACCCTGTTGTCATGTTGTCATTAACAGGTTAAATGCAATGAACTGGAGGGGGGTAGAATGCCAATGTACAATGTACTATTAGAACAAGGTGCGATTCGATGGGCGCAGCCATTTTTATTGTTCATCTCACTTGGGACTATTTATAATAACCATTTTCTGTTTCACATTGTTATTGTTCAATCCACAAGCTGGTGGATCAGACAATAACAATCTGAAATAGAAAATGGTTATTTTAAATACTCCCGAGTGAGAAGAAAAATAACCTATCTTCGCCCATAGAGTCGCACATCAAGTCTATTGACAAGCATTCTACCCCACTCCAGTTCATTGGAGCATGGAGGTATCTCAGAGTAAGTAAGTAGTAAAGAGAGGACAGTAAACAATGTTTGTGTCGCCATGATAATATGGTCGAGAATTCTAATTAGAGAGAAATAGATTAATATCTCTATCTCTTTGTTTGTATTTGTCAGTTTGACAAAGCTTTTCTCAGACAATTATTCCAGTGTTTAATTTAAATTTGTTCGTGTTGTGGTGTTGAAAGTAATTGTTATTAATATTACATTCATAACAAAAAAGTCATATTTTGTTTTCACTTCATTAAAAATGCACCTACCTACCTTTTAAAACATTTTATTTTATATTCTACTTGGTCAACATTTTCGAATTTAAAATGACCCAGCGAAATTGTTTTACGGTACGCTAATGCTGAGAATTCAAAAACGAGTGAGAAAGCCTTCATTAGAAAGAGAGATACTGATTATATGATAGCGAGATTAATATTATATAACTTTATGCAGTGGTGGCCTATCTGCTATTATATTATCTAAGGGAGGTATAGCCTCATTGCTTTCTAGTTTTAGCAAATGTACGTAAGATCTCCGCTAACGTTACGTTAGACTTATAATAGATTTTATTTGTTGAACTAGTGTCACACTCGACACTAAATTCGAACTGTGATACATATTAAAGGTGCACAATAAAATTTTGAGAAACATCGGTCATTTTAGAGTTTTTATTGATCATTGAACCCATTTTGAACCATCGAGGTAGAATAAAGTACCTCGATGCCATTAAACGCTATATAGAAGCACGTATCTTTTTGTTTCGAAGCCTTTATCATTTCAATTATTTCCAATTTTATTTAAACTACAATTAAACCTACAGGTTAAACCCATATGTTAAACCCAGTGAACTGTATAATCGTGTATATTTCAGTTCACTGGTTAAAACCCCAACCCCGTTATCGCTATTTTTTCAAAAAAATTTACTACGTTATTTGAGAAACTAGTACTTTTTATTAAAATTTTAGCACGTTTTTATTGACAATGACAGTTGACAGTATTGGCACTGGCAACACCGGTCACTGATTGAGATTGAAAATTGAAATGTGAAGGTCAAATTTTAAATACATTTGATTTTGAATTCCCATTATCCATTCGTAAACATTCCTAAAATACCTATCAAGTGTTTGAGCCAAGGACGTTTAATTTGTTTCCTGTATGCTCTTTAATTATTAAACTAAAAATTATTTGTCTTTGTGTTTTAATAAAATAAACAAGTTTTTTAAAACATGGCTCAGTGTAAGGTGTGGTTGGAGAATTATCATACAGGACAGTATTTCCCAGGCAGCCAAATTCAAGGCAAAGTTGTATTAAATTTCACTAGTGAAACTAAATGCAGAAGTAAGTTGTTTTATTAGAGCCTCATTCCATGGTGTAATAATGGTTGTTTTGATTTAGGCGTTAAATTAAGATTATTTGGACTTGAGCATACAGAATGGATGGGCACTGAAGAGTATACAGAACAAGGATCTAATGAACGTAAAACTAGAGACATACGAATAGAAGGAAACAATGAAATATTTGCCACAGAATTAATATTGTATGGAGCACGTACGTGAACACAACCATTATCCATAGTATAATCCGTGTTATTCAGTTTGTACATACATCCACTTATACATTTAAGGGCCATATCAGACAGATTACTTGGGGTTACTAACTTTATGCTCGAAAACTAATAGACTACTGATCCAGTTTTGCAATCGAGATCAATATTTGCTGATCCTTCCTGCACCTCATGATTTTATAAAGGAATAAGGCAACTTTTTTTGGTGTCTGACAGTTTTGAAGGTTTTTTTTTAATTCACATTTAAAAAAAAGGTTTTAAAACAAATAGGTTTATAATATTGACTGTTACACGGGAAACATCAAAAATTGACAAATGTAGATAAATCAGAACAATCCAACTGGTTCATAAACTGTCTGCACTTAATTCACAACTATCAGCATGTGATCCCTTGAATATACCCTGTAACCTGGATTTGTAATACCTATACAGTAGGTTTTCAAAAGTGCCTTAAGTAAAATTAAAAGTACCTAGACTAGAGGCTTACAAAAAAACTAATTGAGTTAAAAAAAATGTACTTTTACACATAATTGCAACACTAAAATATAGAGACCCACTTAAAAAACTTCAAAATTTTCGTTTTGATACTGATTAGACTGTCAAAGAAAATATCCAGTGTATTTTGCATCTAGGAATAATTTTCATTCTATATAGTGCTGAATATTTTAATATGTTGATTTTTGGAGTTGAACAGTAAAATGGAACTGAAAAATCTATTAGTAAAATTAGGAATGGTAGCTTACCTGTTGGACTAATTTTTTTATTGAGTTGGATTAAATGCCATAATGTTGGCTAAAATATAAAAACTATTTTTTGGATACTATTATCTTAGACTATGATTTCAACAACGTTATGATAATTATTCAGCCGTATGGTTGGGAGTATCCAATGATTGTAAAAGTATACGGAAAAATGAAGGTTGATAATTGTTGTTTTTTTATATAAAATGTGTGGAATACAATTTTTTAACCAATCTTCACTAGACTTGAATCTGGATAATGTAAATATGATACATGATTTCAACAGTCTTTTTACTTTACTACATAATATAGAAAAAAATTCTTTATAAACTAAAAACCTATATTTAAACTATATTTCAATTATTAGAAAGCTGACACCTCTTTATTTAAATATGTAACTTTTAATGCTTTTTTAGAGACTGGTACAACAACTCTATCAGCAGGCCAACACATTTACCCCTTTAATGTCACTTTACCTAATGAGATTCCAGGGTCTTATAACTGTGAATATGGTTCCATTACATTTAAATTATTAGGTATTGTGGACCGCCCTATGGCTTTTGATTACACCGATGAGCTAATTTTCATTGTAGTGTCATTAGTTGATTTAAACAACTTGCGGAAACCAGATCTACTGGTAAACTTAATACAACAAGTCAAGAAACTTAACTAAAATGATTATTTTAAGGAATCAACTTCTTATTCTGACGACAAGACTGTATGCTGCTTGTGTTGTGCCCAAGGTCCAATTGAAATGGATATAACTTTGCCTAAAAGGACACTTGTACCTGAAGAAACTGTCAATGTTTTAGTTCGTCTCAGTAATTTATCAAACACAAATATTGAAGGAGTGGAATTAAAATTGAAACAGGTATTACTAGTAGTTGTACCTTTTTCACTCATTTTTTTTTTAAATATTGGAGTTTGCTACTGAAAATATTGTCATTATCTAGAACCAATCTGTCTCGTACCCAGATATGCAATTTATAACTCTATAGACATCCATATTAGTTCATTTAAAACACTGAAGATACTTATAAATATTGTTTGTAATAATTTGTTCACAATTTTATAAAAATCCAAATGACCTTTTATAATTGGTTATTTTACTTATAAATAATACCATTTTCCAATTTTTTATTAAATATTTTAAATAAACTTAATTATTATTGCCATTTTTAAATAATAATTCTGATAAGTACCTACATTTAAATGTATTTTGTTTTTAATTTGAACTTATAATCTCTTCATATTAGAAACGCATGTCTGGTTTGCATAAAAAAGTAAGCAGTCATCAGTATGCCTTTGCCAACAGTTAAAAAAATCATTATCTTTTATAGTCACCCACTATATTTTCTTTAATAATCTTTGTTTTATATTCTTTATTTTTTAGTCCATCGTTTGTAAAGCATATAATCCATCAGAGAGCAGATCCATTGAAAATACACTGCTTCATTTGACTGAAGTTGGTTTGGGGGCTCATGGTGAAAATACATACACTTTTCCTGTGAAATTACCACCCAATTGTACTATTCCCAATTTTGCTTTCTGTAAGCTGTTCAAAGTGAATTATCACTATAAGGTAAGACAATATTAATAAATTAATAAACAAGATAAGATCATTTTAATAAGGACAAGTTTTGAAGGCCAAATCTACTTGGTGATATAGCTATATCATGGTCCCGTTTTTGATGTTTCATTTCATATAAAATAATTAAATGGCATTTTTTTATATCATTATATAGTAGCAGCTTCTTAACTATGATTCAGGTTCAATTTATTCAACATTTAATAAAACATCTACAGTCTAGCACTATGAAACACTAAAACTATCCTAATTCATGTAAACAGTGTATGGTGTTTGTCTTGATAATTGTTAAATCGCCAGTAATGGCGTGTTCTAAATAATTGATAATAAAATAAGAGATCTGATCTCTCCACATACTCATGTTAATGAAGCCGTGAATCACTGGCACATCTTGGATGGAAGACTGCTAGGAAATAAGCACTTTATATAGTTTTATCACATAACTATCTAAGACAAGAAGTAGCATCCTCAAATGGTTGCAAAATAAGCCTCCTAGTTTGCAGTAATGACACCCTCTAGAGCTCAATTTTCTTATTTTTTAGCCTTTTTTTAAATTTTCAATATATTTATCAACATTTGACATACACATATAGACATTGAGCTTTTTTACAAAATTTTAGGTCACTGCTCTACTACCCGGTGTTCATGCTAACCTAGAGATCGACATGTATCCAGAACTTGGTAATATAGAAATAGGACATCAGGCTCCCATAGGAGGATTCCAACCTCCTCCAGTTACAACTTATCCTATGGCTCAACCCTCTTATCCAACAAGTTACCCAGCTACTCAATATCCACAAGCAGGAATTGGAAATCAACAATATCCTGAAGGTGGAGGCATTTCAAATTATCCACCTGCTGTTCAGCCATTTGGTGCACCACCTCCTGGCATGTACCCTCCAACTGGAGGTTATGCAGGAAGTTCTTATCCGCCACCTGTTTCAACTCCCTCATTAACTGGTAACAATTTTTACTCTACTAATAATTATTTATTTTTATCATTTAAAACGTTACTTTTTTTAAAGATTAAAAATATTATTTAAAGTAATTAAATGAAGTAAAAATAAGGTAGTAAGTATCAAGTAGTTTTAGAATTTTGTGAACTGAGGAGAATAAATTACAATTTTATAAATTTAGGTGGTAACAAATAATATCATAATATTCCTTAAGAAATGCTAGATACCACAGTAACAATGTATGTGACATAAATTTTAATTTCATAGGTATATGGTGATTTTAATGTAGATATAGTAAATAGAACATCATTCATAGATAAATTGAATTTGGAAACCTAATAACTTTTATTAAAGGAAATAAATTCCAATTCTCAAATACAACCAATTTAAAAATGAACAACAAAGGCAGAAGAAAAACTCAAAGTCCATGTTACAGTAACAACTACTCATTTGGCTAATACCTCTCCAGGCATTGCAGGTGGGGGTTACCATTTCTGCTCATTGAATATCTACACACTCAACATATGTTAATATGTACTAGCGAATTTTGTATAGCCAGCAGACTCCATTAGATACTGGTATCGAGATTATATATTTCTTGCTAATGAGTCCTAATAAGAACGAAACCGGTCTTAGAATAAGGTTCTCCTTAGAGAGTTAGGGTGTTAAAAATTATTTTTTTTTCTGCTTTTTACCTTTTGATATAATGCAATACCTGTTGCGGTATTAACCAAAGGAGTAGTTGTTTTCAGGAGGAAAATGGTCTGTCGTTATTTCTGTGAGTTTTTCTTTTTTTCCTTTTAGAATTATCAATGTTAATATGCAGATTTAGCTAGTATTTTAAAATATAAAACTCTACAGTTGGTTAGATAATTATTTTCTACATTACTAGTCCAAGTTTTGTCATTTTGTTTGCCTTTTTAAGCACAATTATGAAGGAATTTATAATAAATAGCTCTTTTAAAACGTTTATTTAACATTTACTTTAACCAATTAAAACAAATTTTCTCGTAGATAGAAAAATTAAAAAATTGATAATGAAAAATTATTTGCATGTTGTCAAAAGATGTGTTCATGAAAAATAATGTATATATATCTAATCTTTTAGGTTGTTTAGCTAGTTTCTTTGCATAATATTTATTATTGATCATATTAAAATTACTATTGTTTTGTTTGTGTATGAGAGAGAGTGACATTAGACTAAGTCTGTTTGCCACAAAATGAGGAATTAAAACTTCCAGGCTGGATATTTTGGTAAGTAATAGAGATATTTTAATTCTGTAACAGCCCGTTCACAGAGCACTAAGAGAGCTTCAGTTTTAGATATAAATTGATTTTAAATAGGTCAATATGTAGATGGCGCTGTTCTTAATATTTTTTTTTTTTTTTCGATGGGAGGATCTTTCTTGTGTAGCGCATATTGTGAAAAATGCATTTTAAGCAGATTTTGTTCTATGAATTAATTCGATAAATTTAGCCATTTTTGATATACTCACTCAAAACAGTCTCATCCTGTTTTTCAGCATTAATCATTGGATTTTAAGAAAATGCTAAAACAAGTCGATTTTCATTCCAAATTAAGAACATTTTTACAATACAGAAATCTCATGTGTCAACCCCCTCCCTTGCACTTCTCCAACACCTTAATTTTAAATAGGTAATGTACCATGTATGGTACATCATTGAAAAGGTAATTTAATGAGGGATTCAGAAATATTTCTGTACATTACGTTACCTAAATTTTATCGCCCTCTAGCGGGATAAAAAAACTACTACGTATTATAGAGTGTGACTACAATGTGTAATTTTATGGGGAATTTGAAAATATGACTGTTCATTGCGATACCTTTAATTGTATCGCCCTTTATCGGGATAAAAAAAACTCCTACGTATTATAAAGTGTGACACCTTATTTGAAAGCAAATGTAATTACTAATTCAATGCACCACATAACATTAATATAAATGTCCTCCATATTGTACTTGCAATAGTTTGAAAATTAGTCATGCATTATTTTAAACATTATTACTAACTTTATTTTATTTCAAGTGCAATATGGAAATATTATGTGGTGAATTGAATTAGTAATTAAATTAGCTTTCAAATGAAGTGTCACACTTTATAGTACGTCACAGGTTTTTTTATCCCGATAGAGGGCGCTAAAATTAAAAGTATCGAAATGAAAAGTCATATTTCTGACTTCCCTGTTAAATTACCTTTTCAATGATGTGCCGTACATGGTACATTCCTTATTTTAAATTAAGGGGTTAGAGAAGTGGAAGGGAGGGGGTTGACACATGACAGATGTCTGTATTGTAAAAATGTGTTCAATTTGAAATAAAAATCGACCTATTTTAGCATTTTCTAAAAATCCAATGATTAATGCCGAAAAACAGGATGAAACTGTTTTGAGTTACCCACTCTGTATATCCAAAATGGCTAGATTTATCGAATTAGTTTATAGAACAAAATCTACTTAAAAATGCATTTTTTACCAGATGCGCTATATAAGAAAGATCCTCCCATCGAAAAAAAATTATTAAGCGCAGCGCCATCTACATATTGACCTATTTAAGAGCAATCCAGTCCCTTCTGACGTCACACCGCACGAATCTCACGACCTCCCCTTAAAGTATTTGGAACCTTGTTCGCTACATAAATTTGGCAATGTTTTGTGTCGTAGCTGAAGGATAATCATATTGGGTAGGGTCCGATTACAATTCAGGTATAGTTCGTTGGCTATCGCCGCCTACTGGGGGTTAGTGGCTTGTTAATATACGAATGTAGGAATACTATTTTTAAACCAAACAACTCAAATATTTTTTATTTATTGATAGTTATAGATGATATACAGGGTGTCCCGAAATTAGACGATCATATTTTAACAGTGTAATCTACATCCTAAAATAGTAGTAAAAGTTCATATAAACATAGGTCCGAAAACTTTTCTTTTCCGAGATACAGGGTGTTAAAGGTGAAGTCCTGATACCACACTTTTGTAAATATTTAAAGATAATTAGGTAAAATTTGTTACAAATACTTACCTTTTTACGCTTCATTTATTGGACTAAACCCCCCAGTTATTGATAATCTTCTTAGGTGGGTAAATTAGGGGGAGCTTAGGGTAAAATTGCCGTGTGTGTCTGTGTGTCTATATCCACCATAACTCATGAACCGATACACAGAAAAACACTAAATTTTAAACTTAAGTTTTATTTCGGCCTGACGTGAAATGATTAGATTTTGGACAACGTCGGAACATCTGGGGGGTACTTTATGGGAGGCCGTTTTTATATTTTATTGAATATATCTGTTATTTATGTTTGGAGAAGAAAATTATTCAAATAAAAGTTACTTCTAATATTATTATCTATCATTTTTGCTTTATGTCAAAATTTCCTGAAATGGTCCGTATTCGAGAAATTTGACAAAATGTGCAAAATTCTAAACTAAACTAAAAGTTGTTTGCGATATCGATCTCTATAATTTTTGTTTATACATGATTTTTCTAAAATGGACCGTAATGGAAAAATTGTAGGAAAACTGCTAAATTTAAATTTTTCAGTATTTTCGTTTTCAATGAATAACTATAGAAAAATGTTTCGAGGTAGATAGATGTATGTGGAAAATGTATATATTTAGTTTATCCTCTAAACATTTATAGATGTACTGCAATAAGTTGTACAAAATAACCAGAAAAAGCCTATAATAACTAGATAGGAAAGTCATGTGTGGGACACATCAGATTTTTTGACTATAAAATTTGGAAAACCAATATTTTCTGTATAATAAAGCTACATTTGTTGCATCTCGCTAGGACGCGCCATTTTCAAGAGCAAAGCAAGTTACCTTATTCGAAAGTGTAAACAATAATTAGTAGGTCTGTAGAATTAGAAATTTTATTTTTTTTTTTAACTTTGAAAAACTGGTAACTAAAGAAATTTTAGAAAATATTTCATCTGGACTTCACTTGTAACACCCTGTATCTCGAAAACGAAACGTTTATATAAACTTTTACTCCTATTTTTAACCGACTTCATAAAAGGAGGGAGGTAGGTTCTCAATTCGTCGCAATATTTTTTTAAATTTTTTTTTTATGTATGTTCAGCGATAATTATTTAACACGGTGTCCGATTTCAATGATTCTTTTTTGTTAGAAAGGGGGTACTTCAGGGATGGTTCCATATAAATTTGGTCAAAATCTAATAATTGTGCCCATGAGAAAATCCTCAAACGCTTCATTTTTTATGTATGTTTAGCGATAATGCTTTACCACCTTGTCCGATTTATATGATTCTTTTTTTGGTAGTAAGGGGGTACCTCAGGGGTGATCCTATATACATTTGGTTAAGATGTGGTGACGGCATCTGCACGTTTTTGAATTCGGTTTTTTTTAATTTCTAATACTTGTAGGATGTAGATTACGCTGTTAAAATATGACCGTCTAATTTCGGGACACCCTGTATATTTTAAATTCGAAATAATAGTTATGACGTAGCGATGTTTTTCTAATTGTAATCGGACCCTAGGTATATGGATACGGAAAGTGATGAATTGGAAATAGGTAAATTGTATTTATTGTATTAAAGGAACAACAAATATAAGTACAATTAAATAAGTATATTAATATAACAATTTTTAGTCTATTAAAATTTTTTTTTTCACATAGATTATTAAATTAAAAAATAACTATTAAAACACGAAATGTTAATTTTTTCTCTTTTACAACACAAAATATACAATACTGTTAAATCAAAATTTTCTCTTGGTAGCAGGTGGTTTTTGTGACGCGACAATTATGATGCTTTGCATCTCATGAATTAAAGCTAATTCTCTTTCAATCTTAAGGTGATCATACCCCTTATAATTTTCGGACAAGAATATCTCAAAATATTTAAATTTTGGCAAAATAAAGTAGGCAATAACATCTATAATATGTATATATTTTAATGTTTTAATTCCTTCCAGATTCCCAAAAAAAACTAAAAGGGCTTTAATTTTGAAATATAATAAAAATAAATGCATTCCTCGACAGCACTATTTTTAATATAATCCCCAAATTTAAGCTCCTAATGTCTTGTTAATGATTTCTATAATTCGCCAAAATTAGTGGCTAAAACGCTTCGTTAAGTGCTATCTTCTGGTGTAAACTGGTGTAAATTATTGCAAGAAACGAATAATGACAGAGTGTACGATACGATAGTTACAAGCGCGTTACACTGTTTTCCACTCAATTTATTAAAAAAAAATAATAAATTAGGGTGTTAATTTTTTTTCTCTGAAGCTATTGGTTTTGGGAAAAAATTCAAGAATAAAAAAAAATTAAATAAAACAAGGATTTCATAAAAGTTCATCTCGAAAAAAAGTTTTGATATGAAATAAAGTAAGTGTTGCTAATTTCACCCCCCTATAATGTAACAGAAATATTGAAAAAATACCCGTGGTTAGTCCTTTGCGATTACAGAATTTCAAGTTTCTAGCTTTATTGAAATTTTAGAAAAAAAAATAAAAACTCAATTTTAGTCACCACCTTTTAAGGGTGATGTCTCGAAAAGGGGTGGGCTGAGGAAATTTTGTTATAGGAAAGACCCATCTTAATTTTATACGAGCAATCAGTTCCTGAATTTTGTCGCATGTATTTAGAAACACCCTGTATATTACACATTTTTTTTAAGCGTTCAAAATTCTTGACAATCTCTTTTCCCTAATTGGCACATGTCGTATTTCTCTAGGATTTACTAACTCTGGCAGCAAACAAATAAAATAGAAATTTGTTAGCTGTGCATTTTTGCCTTCCAGAATTTTTCATTTCATAAATTAACTAAAAACTAAATTAAACAAAAACCTAACAACGCCTCAACAACAAACTAAGACGATCACAATAATTTCGCACCTCTTCAAAAACAACTACCTATTTTTCGACACAGGAATTAACAAATTTAACTAAACAGCAGCTACCCTTTTAACCACGGGCTTCATAGACTAGCAGCGTTGCCATATTCACTGATATTATTGTTTTAATAGAATTATTATCGGAATGAAAACTATGTTAATCTTCGGTCCTGTTTAAAATTGGTAATCTTTTTGAAAAAAAGTCATTTAGAAAATAGTTAAGATATTTGTTATAGAATGACGGTAAAGAGCCAAAAAATTTAATTTGTTAAAAGTGGAAATTTTTGTTGTTTTTCTTTAAAAATATAAGTTTTTCGCGGTTTAGCGAAATTCTTGGTTCATTTTTACAACGATTGGCCTGAACCATTTTTTTTTTTACAATTTTTGTTAACTGACTCAAATGTAAAATTGATTTTTGGCGGAGGAGCGCCCGACATGTTTGCTCTTAAAATCAATTTATATCTAAAACTCAAGCTCTCTTAGCGCTCTATAAACTGGCTTTTACAGAATTAAAATATCTCTATTACACACCAAAATATCCGGCTTGGGAGTTTTTATTGGTATATATACAAAAACTTTAATAAAATGATTGGTAAAACCGAATTATATTAGTAGGTTAATTGGTGATAGGAACTTTGTGAGACATGTATAAATTGATTTATTTTCAAGAGCAAGTAGGCACGTAATATAGGGCGGGAATATATTCATATTAATGAGCATTTTATACAATTGGATAATAATTGAATTATAATTGTTTGAACAATTGAAAAAAAAATTGCTTAAGATCTGAAGTGGAGGAACTATTACATGTACATATAGGAGAATCCAGTAGGTCAATTTTAAAAAGATGGGCAGGGAAGGGCCCATGGTTAAATTTCAAGCTTGTAATGTTCCCATACTGGAATTTATTTAATCCAAATATATCAATATGCGGAATTACCCTAGGCAATTCTTTATGGATAGTAAAATAGTGATAATTAGAGTTGAAGCTGTATTTTTTTTATAATTTGCTTCCCAGTTTTTCTAATTTGTTTTTTATATGTAGTTACTAAATCTAGATAAACTGGCACCTCCGTCAACGACTAATTATCACCTTTTTCGCTTTTAAATCTACGCATTCATTACAGACTATACCAGCATGGCCTTTTGCCCATATAAAAGTTATATCTTTATTTGAAGCTTTCAGGGTGTAAAGTCTGTTTTTTATAAGATTTAAGAACGAATTTTGGTAGTATTTATATGCAATAGTAGCAATTACCTGTAAACAGGATTTAGAGTCGGTGATAATCGCCACTTTCGTTACTGGATTTAATTCGTACCAGTGTAAATATAGAGCAAAAATCCGGAAGACGATGATCTTCGACGTAATTCGTCGAAGGAACGAAAAAAGCACATCCGTTCCTTGCCTTCTTGATCCATCTGTAAATATTTTAGTTAACCTACCACCTAATATATTAAAAATGGAATTTAATATGGTATTGTGTAAAGATGGTAGTTCAACAAATAACGGATAGATGATAGGTGTTTATTAAATTTTCTGTGTTTACTATTAATAGTTTATTAGTTAAAAAATGTATTAAATGATCTATATTTCAAGATCTATTTACTAGACAGATATTTTCTACGTAAACTTAAAGGAGGTTCCTGTGATTCTGCTAAAACTGCATGGTTTGGTGAGGTCTGCATGGCTTCAAGACATATTTTTAGAGCTTTTTATTGAATACGATCAATAACTAGTAGGTTACTATTAGAACAAGAAGCGTATAAGGTACACCCATATTCTAAGATCAGAGAAAAATCAGAGATATGCTAGGATCTGCACCATATTTACGCTTAGAAACATATCTAAGAATATAAATTTCTTTTTCACATCTCTGCTTTAAGTATTTAATATGTTGAGTCCATAAAAGTTTTTTGTCAACTATGACCCCTAAATATTTATAATGTTCGGCAACAGGAAAAACATGATCACCTATGATTAATGAATCGTCTAGCCTCAGTCTGTGTCTTGTGAAACACATGAGTGCTGACTTTTCAGGAGACATGTTAAATTCTAATTCAAACAACCACTTTTTAAAATTTAATACAACTTTTTTCATGTATTTTAGGCAACGATCAAAAGTATTATGGGTAACATATATACCAATATCATCCGCGTATTGTATGACATTTACAGTGTCCTCAAATAAACGATTCACTTCTGCAGAGTATATGTTAAATAATAAAGGACTTAAAATTGATCCTTGTGGAATACCTTCAGACTATTGTTTTATTTCCACAATTTAACATCATAGAAAAATTGGCAATAAAAATGTTTAATGCAAATAATTTTCTACATTATTATTCTCTTACATAATATTAATTACTGTATTTTAAAGCTTACACTTTATTTCATAATTTTACTTAATCTATTTAATCAACCTTTTTTTTTTTTCAGGCTATCCTTCAAAAGCAGAAGAAGCTGCTGGATTCCCGTCAGCACCGCCTCCAGCACAGGCAGGCCAAAGTAAGCTAAAAAATTAATGGTGCAAATTACATACAAAAAAGAATAAATATAAAAAAACGAAACAAGCAGAAAGCTCGTTAACCACTATCCATTCTTGGTGCCATGGATATTTAATGACTTCAATACTTCTTCTGATCATCGATGTGCAGTTAGTGATTAGACAGTATTCTAAAGATATTTGAATAATCTCTGCTCTTCTGAACTTCTCTCTATTTCCACTAAGTGACCAACCAGTCCCATAGCTCACACCCGTACTCTGGCTAACTTCAAACAATAGTCTTTCTTCAGAATTCCCATTCCAAAATCTGCATAACAAACTACTCGAGTCTTATTATAGAGATGCAACAGATTGTTGACTATACGTTTCCGGCCCGAATAGTTAGTAAGATATTTTTCAGTTCTCAATTGCCGTATATTCGCCGAATTTTGACTAGATTTATTTATATCTACATTTATTTATACAAAGTAAAAAAAATCATTCTGGTTATTTCTCTACAATGTTAAAAAATAAAAGCAGAGATCACATAAAAAAATGTAATGACCTAACATTTGCCAGTAATACAAGTTTAAAGAGTTCTAATCTAATGCCATCCTCCTTAAAATGATACTTTATAGATGTAGATTGTGATTTAAGAAAATAATACTTTACCCCTATTAGTATGTAAGTGGTTTCGTTTGATTTCAAATACATTGCCGTAAGAAAATAATTAATACTTTACCCCTATCAGATGGTTTGTTTTCAAATACATTGCCAGCTTCAGAAAAAAAAACTTTTTCAGTATAGACACTACCGGCTGGTGTACATAAATAGACCTTTTCCATTTTAAATAAAATGGGATACTTTATTTTATTTTGTTTCCACTAAGTATGAGGAGAAGAGTTCTGTTCTTGAAAATGAGTAGCTAAAAGGTCAATATTTTATTTGGAATAAGTGCTATATTTGAAATTGAATCGATGTTGGTTTCTTTAGTTATGTGACTTATACTTGTCGACCCAATCATTTTACTAAAGCAATCCCAAAAGCTAGAAGTGTGGCTGTTGCAGTTATCTTCATCTTCTTTCCTTTTTTTCTATCGAGGTGCTTCTTTTTGTTGTCCGTGTGTAGTGAGGTTTATTATGTTAGACATCAGTATATATTTAATTTTTTCTGTTAAATCGTTGTCAAAAAATCATTTTTAAAACGGGGATCTAAAAAAGTGTATACGGAAAAATTGTTATTACTTTTTACATCAACAAATCGAAAATTTAATTGGTTTAATAGTTCTTCTTTTATTGTTCTAACACTGTAGACCTTCCGCTGTGACAAGTATTTGTTAAGTAAAGGAACGTTTGGAATAACTTCTAAAATCTCACTTTCATTGGCATTAGTAATTTTTGTAAAGGATTTTAACAATGTTAGCAATTGGCCACTGATTTACGTTTAAATTTTGTATATTGATATTACTACTATTTTCATTTATATAAATAGAAACTGCTCGTTTCTGCTCAACTAAAACTTCTAACATATAATATTTTGAATTCCAACGAGTGGGGACATCTTGTACTAACTTTTTTGTTTTTCTTTGAACATTTATTTCATCCTGAATCGTTTTCAGAGTATCACAAGCCAATGCAGAATGATTAAAATGGCTTACAATTCTTTTTGACTGAGAATACATCGTTTACACTTAGTTTATTGTTCAATATTTCCCATACAGTTAACAAACTCATCAACATTCCATTTATAACACCAGTTAGCAATCCAGGAAAATATTTTATATTTAAAACATCCATACTCATCTATCTAGTCTAGTGAGCAATAAAGTTTTTATGAAACCGTTATTATCAATACTACAAGTCCATATATCTGACGTAAAAAATATTATATCAACAGACTCCCGAGTTTTGATTTACATTCTTTATATAATTTAGGGACCACAGTCTCATTAAAGTAAATTCTGCTTAGCACTTTATAATGTGATTGCAAAATGCTTAGAAGATTTCCGAAATCCTTTATCTTGCAAAATACTTAATGGTTGATTATCCAGGACTATCATTTTGGATGATTTATAAACTCCAAGATGGCCCTGCCATAACATGTATTGTTGTCGCCGTAGAGATCTCATTAACACCTTCATATTTTTATTTTCCTTATCCTCTTCTATTTCCTTGTACGCATTTGGATGTTTATATCTTAAGTGGTTTAACAGAGGAATAGTTGATACCTTTTTGCCTACACCCCCTCTTGCAATGGCATGTTTACATATATCACATATAACAAAAAGACCAACGCCTGTCTGAAGACTTAAATATAACTAACATCGCATTAGAATAACTCTCTAACATAGATCGAGTATACAAGAATAGACTTGTCGAAACTTGTCTGGTAGGGATTGGGCTTCTGTTTAGAATATATTTTCTATTTGGCAGGCAACTGTTCGGTCACTATTCAGCCTTTGGTTCTGAGGGTTCGGCCCATTTAAAAACTGATATTCTGCTATAATTCGGCATATTCGACTGAATGTGGCTCATGGATATCTGTTATTCGGCTGAATAGAAAATCAACTGTCCATTGCATCCCTACTACTGTATAATACGTTGTGGTATCTTTCACCCATTTTTGTTAACAAAAAACAAAATTAAATACAGTCGGTCCAGTATTTCTTGTTTATTAAAATGACAGAGACTTCAGGCTGACTGGTAATTTTAGAAATAAACAAACTTACTGATACCTAATAAAAATTTTCAGTGCCACCACCTTCTTACGACAGTATCCAGAAGTAATAATGTTGGAGAAGCAGCGTAAACAACGCACATGCTGTGAATTCTCAGGTTACAGAATATTTGCCTTAAATTGTTTAAATTAAACTCACTTTCCTAAATTATTGTTATTTCTAGATCAATAATGCGCTATTTTTTTTAAGGAAAATTTTACACCAATTGTACGAGTAAGGTAGGTATTATCAAGTCCTTTTAATCTATCAAATTTTCAATTATTTTTTATTCAATTCTTATTTTGATATACGAACGGATTATACTGTGTACTAAAAACTTTCCTTGACAATGCAAAGCATTGATTTAATATTTAAAACCGAAGAAACGTTTTTTGTTTCAACTGATAGCTCAAGAAATTCTGTGGTTGGCGACTAAAAGGATATAAGTCGAATTTTTAGAAAAATAGGGTTTCTTTTGATCTTTTAAGTCTATTTATGCTGAAAAATTTTAAAATTATTTATTAATTTGGATCTTCTGTACAGACAAAATGATATTTCTCAACTTTCACACCCATTTCCCATACTGTCAAAATTTATACTTGAGCCCTTTTAAGCGCCGACCACAGTATTGGTTATTAAATACATCATTACAGTGAATATTTTGAAAATTAGTATGCCAACTTGATAGTACCCACTGCTTTCTCCAAAGAAATAAGTTTTGAGATGGAAAGTTGGGTTTATATTTTTATTCTGTCCAAGGTGAAATTTAAATATATCGACATAATAAAATGAACAGACCTACCTACCTGTTAAATATAAATGAACGGCACTAACTTTACCAGTAAATTCGAAAAATTTTAATATCAAATCATTTCCTATTTCAACCTTTTTTCTTCACGCACTGTAACTAAATTATATGCAAGTCGACACATTACTAAAGTGATTGTTTTCTATATAATAATTGATATGTTTTTTTTTAATAGATTTTCTACATTTAGCAGTTTTGTTAAAAGGTATTTTATCAAAATAACATTTTTTTGAATTTCAATGTGTTGATGTGTTTTAATTTCACCCAGTATATTTTATTTGTTTTATGGGAATAATATGGAAAAACAAACTCAAAAATGTTCATTCTCAATCATATACCTATGTAATAACTTAATTTGAAACGTTTTGAAAGCTGCAAAGTAGGCTATTGCTAGTCTGACATTCAAATATCATAACAACACAAGGCGATACACCTGGGGTACGTTCAGGAATAACACACTGAGTGTGAATGTAATTTTCGCGATGTGACTAGTTAAGCGACGCCTGCCTGCGACCATTCCTTACCATTCAAAAACCAATAAACTTAACCAAACATTTTAGTTAAATTTCATATTATCCTGTTTTATCACATTTTTTTATATTTTTGTATGTTTGTAATCATGTTTATAGGTTATAAAAAATATGTTCCAGGAAATAAACAATAATTTTGAATATAATATGGCAATAGGCAACTAAAATATCCCAATCGCACCTCTTCACACTGAAAAATTATGGTGTGAAGCTGGGCGACTCATGTACACGTCTCTGGTAATCGTGTGTACATGCAGAGAGACATTTCTATTTCTGAACAGTATGAACATCATTAGTGTTACACTTACACCCGGTGTATGATTCCTGAACGCACCCCTGGGGATATACCTAATTGGCTATTTTTCTTATTATATTATAAATTCACAGATCAAAAATAACTAAAATAATATGAAATATCAGGCAATCTCTAAATGTCCAAAGTGTTTTGATTTTAAAGACAGTATTTATAATTCTTTATAGCAGCTCTTTTAAATAAATACAGCTATATACTTTTTAATAATGATTGTTAATAAAATAGTACACAAACGTTGGCGGAAATTATCATTCCGGTCTCGCTGTGTAATATACTATTAATGTTTACGTACTAATATTGATAAAAAAAAAAACTTACATGATCTATGAAGTAAATTTTAAAGAAACTGAACATTTTTCAAAGCTATTATTCCTGCTAAAGTAGTTTTTGTATGTATATAGTGTTTTTATTTTTACCTATTAGCAATTTTGTTAAGGTAGTTCACTCGTAAAACGGCTTTTCTTAAGAATTTAATAAAATTGAAATATAAGGTTAATGAAAGTGTCTTTTACGTACTAAAAAAATTAAATTTTTTGACCGTCTGTGAAACGAGATATTAACAAAAATGTGCATAATTTACACTCTTGAAGCCTGTCGTGTACACAAGCAATGGCATTTATCTTGAAAACGGTTCTTACTTATATTTTTTAAAAACTAATGTAATGTGAATCAAGAAGTTATAAAATTTTCTAAAATAAAAATATATTTATTGCAGTCGACGCGTAGTTGCGTAAAATGATTACAACTTGGCAACATTGTAATCGCTACACTTAACGCGCGGTAATAGAATACCACTCGATCAGCTAAGAGGTTGTTATAACCTCGCGGCGTGTTCTTGAAAAATTAATTCGTCCACTGTATTTGAGAACTTGAATCAGCGGTTCTATTTGAACCAAAACAAACCCTTAAAATTAGTATGAGGAAGTCACAAATTTTTATAGCCCAACATTTATATATTTGCAACGTTGCCGGATGGATTTTATTTTAAATTATAACGTATCCGTATATATAAGCTTACATGTGTTGTGTAGTCTCTTACAAAAATAATTTTTTTAGCACTGAGAATCTCGAACTTTTGGTATTCACCATTATGTGATATTTTTATGTACAAATGTCGCGAGTGAACTACCTTAAATACTCGTATATAATATTTATTAGAATATAAGTTGATATATAATCAGAAACCTAGTAAGTTACTACTCTTGAAACTCGCAAGTGTCGAATAAAACATAGTTTTTAAATGTATTATGGAATATTTTAAATAAACAAAAAATATTTTTACTTTTGTTTGTTCATTTCACGTTACACATACTCTTATTTGATCCCATTGTGTGATGGTTATTGTTTCTACTTTTTTTTTGTTACTTCTCTTCCAGTATTTTTCAATATTAAGGTTTCTCTTCGTTTATTACTATTGTGTCCACACTAAGTTAGTCCATATACGTTTATTATCGATTATCGATTTGAAAAAGGGCCGGGAACAAGAAAAACGATGCGCAGTGCGGAATTTTCTGATGTTGAAGTTGCAGTATATATAGTATTTTTAATACAAATCCCGATGCACGTCAGAGATCATTTATGACGTCACGGCCTTGCAGTGTTGCCTAGTCGTCAGAATAGTTGAGGAATTTAGAATTTTTTAAAATTGTAAGGTTATGTTACTATATAGTAGGAACAATTAGTTTTAAATGTATATAACGGAAAATATTGAATTCCTTTATGAATAATAAACATCTGAACAAAAAAGCTTTAAACATATTATGCAAGTCATGGAAAATAAAACTGTAAGGTAGTATATTGCAGATGGATCAAAATTGGTTTAGAATTAGCACAGAAAATATCTAAAACTAATTTAATTTCACCAAGAAAGTTATTTAACAGAACTACATTTAAGTTATAAATCACAACACCCCATAAAATTAAAGAGGTCATTGAAAAAATGAAAACTACAAAGGCATGTGGAGGATTCATAATATCAGTAGATACCTATACTTAAAGAATTAAAGTTTGAAAATGCTAAAATATTTGAATACAAGAAGGAAATTGTTAAAATATTTGAGTAGGTGCTTTAGTAAATCTCACTTTCAGTAACGGTTCTGTAGCTCAAGTATTCAAGATAGCCAGAAATGCTTCAAAAATAAACAGATATCGCTACTTCTTTTCAACTCTAAAGTTATCGAAACATGTATGAACAATAGATTCATCACTCAAACATCAAGATTCTTCATTCTATCAGCTTCAAAAGACATTTGAAAAATGTTATTCTCAAATATTTTTTTGATATCTTGGAATAAATTAAATAAAAATACAGACATATAAGAAATATATCAAACTGTTTATTGTTTTAAAAATTAGACAATGTTTTTTTTTTAATTACACTATTTTCTCATAAAAAAACAATTATTCATCTACTAATCTTCATTATTCCTATAAAATTCTTTTATTTCTCCTAATCCAGATCGCAAGTATTTGAATCGCAGTCATCGATATCTCTATTAGGGTTAATTATAATAAAAATAATTTCCAATCTATTAAAAAATCCCTCTCTGCCAATATGTTTATTATTATATTGCTTAGAAAGGTCACAAATAAGTTCAATGGAGTTAAAAATAAAATGGCAGGGAAGATTACGTAATACTTTGTCTATATTGTTCTGCTTAGGTAATTATCTACCATATATTTCTTTGGCGGTTTGCACCTGAAAAAAGAATGTTTTATTTAGTTCTATTTAGTTGCCATTTCATATAACGTGTGTCAATATCACTATATTCTAAACTGTAATATCTAAACAACACATTATATCAATGATTTAATGTTAGGTACACCGTTATATCAAATCTTGTAACTTCATTTTTAATTTTTTGATATTGTTTTAAAGTTTATTTCTGAAAAAAAAGGCATTTTTGGGTGTCACTGTACATCTTGAAAATGTGTAAAACATGTAGATGTTTATTGACCACTGTAATCAAATTTTTCCAATTAAATTGTCTTTATATGATTGTTAGAATAGCGTATCTACCATTAAATCTTCAATATGATGTGTCATTTCAATATTAATATTTTTTTTACTTGATTTACACAATTACTGATACCTTAATTTGCTTCAAATTTGGTTTTATCTCTTGCCATCGATTTTTGTAGGTCTAACACCCTTTGTCATTATTTTCCCAGGAGCTGTTTAATGTTTCATTTTGGACGATACATGTTTCATCAATGACAACGAACTGCTTCTGTTGTAATTCTATAATTTCTTAAAAACTGACCTATTTACAGTTCACGCCTTGGTTATCTTTTTTCCTTCATTCTTTTAATACAGTTGACAATGATGCAATATAGCCATTAAACATTTGTCTCTCAATCAACTTTTCTCTTAAAGGTTCCAAAGTTATATGTTGATCTGCAAATAAGTATGTATTTATATTACTGTATACAAATTAAAACTTTTATAGGTAATATAAATAAATTATGATTGAATAAATAGATTTGTCTTTATACTTACTTGTTTCATACATATTATAAATACCACTTCGGATTCCACTTGTATCCAGTGTTATTGTATTAGTAGGTAATCCTTTGTTTATATGAATGCTTTTTAATTAGCGATTTTAATCATTCATTATTCTTGACTGCTTGCGAAATACTACTGACAGTAGAAATATTTTTATTTAGAGATGCTGCAACACACTAAAAAAGACAAGAAAATAATTTCATATTTCTATTAAATTGTATAACTTGTAACTTACCTCTCTTACAGCAGTTAAAGGTAAACGTGGTCCATCATTATCACGCTCTCATTCAAAATAATGGATTAAAGAAGCTATCAACTCCTTACAAGGACTATTTAGTTTTTTAGGCATTTTGTATATAAAAATTAAACGACAAATAATCAGCTTATACACTCTATGGTTGTTTTGAAAAACAGTTTTTTATAATTATAACTGGCAAAGCTTAAAAATACAGGCAAAAGAATTTTAAATTACAGAAAACAAAATGCACAATCAATAATTAACTCAACATAAACATAACCTAACTAAATCAGTGAAATTTTTTAAAAAGGGGTTGCAACACCGCAACAAGGTGTGCCAATTGCTGTAATGACATTTCTTCTCTATAAATACGAGCTTCATGGGCGTACAGAATGTCAAAATTATTTAATGTAAAGTATTATTTTTTGAGTACTAAACATTTAATAATGTTTTTATAAATTTTATATTATCAAGAATTAGACATGTATAAACTAAATAATTTAAATAATTCTTAAAATTATCAAAATAATCACCATAACAGTTTTCGACTTTTTAGTAATATGACTACGTTCATGAATGCTCGTGACTATACGTGACTTTTTCGGATTATTAGCTTAGTTAGGGACATTTTAATTAGTTGGTAGTACTATGACGAATGACCGACGTCATTGCTGACGTGCATCGGGATTTGTATTAAAAATACTTTAATTAGTAATTAAATGCTTGGATGAATTAAAAAATTCGGATTGTCAATTTCAGATATTCCATCAAGCACAAACGTACTATTGGAATACCATACAAAAATAAAGATTTTACAAGATATTTTTTTAATCTTCGTATTTTTTTAATTTTTCTTTTTTAATTTGTGATTGAGAGCGGTATTAAAAAAAAAACATAATTTATTTACTTATACGATAGCACTCCGTATTACAGCAACGATGACGTCGAGTTTGATGACGATATGGAAGAAGATAGTTCGGATTAATAAGTATAAGTATTAGTATAAGTATTCGATTTTGAAGTGTTAGAGTGTAAATAAAAATTAGCTCCGTGTTATTCCATAAAAAAAATTAAAGTCTTCCTAATTGGCTTCTGACAGTTGACCAATGGAGTTCTAAGATATTTTAAAATAATACTGATAAATCGTCAGAAGTGAACTGGATGGAATAAACTATAAAATACGAGATATAATGATGGATCAAGTGGAGCACCGGCACTCTCACTATCGCTAATATCTCCGTTATTCTTCCACCTAGCCTTTTGACGATTTGTAAGTAATTTATTTTGAATTAAAGAATAAGAACATTGTACCTAGTACATCATTGTTGCTAAATTTTTCGCAACATGAGCGCCTTCTGACGACTTTTTCTCTTTCTATTACTATCTCCGATAATACTGCAAATTTTCAGAACTGTACCTTATCACTTATTTTGCGAAAAAATTGCATGTTTAACGCCCTACACTCACTTTATACTACCAGGGCGACTTCTGACTGCCCGCCTCTCGTTATGTTGATAAGAATCGAAACTGTAAATAACAAAATTTTTACTTTACAGAGTCCATCTAATAATGTTACATGCACAAAATGTTTTTCCCCGGTTTTTTTTTAAGGCTTTTTCCTGGATTTATATTTTAGGAACAATTATTATAATTACTCACCAGAATAAATGTTGAGACCTACTTCCTTAGCATCACTAGAAAGGTGACAACGTTTCTGTTTTCCTGTTTGTCCAAATTTATTTCGAAAGAACACTGTTGAACATTAACTACCTCATTAATTTTCACTACTTATTTTAACTATATAGTACCGAAACCTCGATTAAATTGCATAAACTTTGAAGCTAAACTAAAGTGATTATGTAAATTCCACATCAATACTACCCAGGGCCGGATGCTCCCGTGTTCAGTTTTCGTCTGCCATGCGCATGACGTCACTCATAGCCTGACTCTCATTAGGGAGAGGGGAGTACTTATTTTCTCTGTAACGCATTTATTATAACAGCTACAACAAAATGTTCAATGCAAAAGATGTTTATTAAGATTCGGGTCAGAAAAATATTAAAAAAATATAAAATTACTAATTTCATGTATCTTTACTTTACGCGTTACTTTCGCTGTAAAATTGATCTCTGGGATTTTTGGCACGAATCTTGCAGGAAAGGTTTTTTATATTAAGTTTCTTTCCTCTTGCTAAGATGCAACCTCTTGTTGCTAAAGTTAGGGTCTTTAGGAAAACTAAAAAATCTTACAAACATTCTTACGAAATATTAATATTATCATGTTTGTTCCCCAAAGAGAAAACATTAATTTTTAAAGTCCATTTGGGAGCACCGTCCCTGTTCCGGCTAATACACAACCTTTAAATAGTGTTCGAGTAAATTTCCAAAGCATTGTTATTGTTTGGTGTTTCGGCCTCCACCTCTCTCAAAGCTTCTTGGACAAGACCGACTTAATTGCACTCTTCTATATAAAAATCGTGGATGTTTGAAAGCCCCAAAATATCTTTATTTGGAAAAACCACGAAAACAAACCGAT